TGTCAGATAAATGTAATGACTTTTTTGTTCTAATTATTGTGTTATGTTGTTTAATAATACTTTCATTATCATCACTACTTTGGTCTGTTGATATGGATAATGTTGATCTTGTTTGTTGACATTGAATTTCATATTGTTTTACTAATTTTATCCATCGATCATTGTCATCATCAATTAAATCATCATGTAATCGATTTTTTTCAACGATTGTTTCATCAATATCAGTTGAATAGAGTGATCGATTTTCATCAGTATTCTTTTGAATATTTACTGGTATGATTAAAGCATTGTTACTATTTGATATTTGTTTTTGTTCTTGTTCAGATTCATGTAGTATAATTTCTTTAATTGATTGTGATTGTAATTGATCACCAGAGCCTAATTCAATTGGAGAACATAGTTGATCATTTTGTTTATTATTCTCAATACAAGGTACATTAACATTTGCTTCACTGATTGATAAAGAACTTGGTGGTGTTTTTAAGGGTTTTATATCAAATTTATATGGCGTATAAGAAAAAAGTTTCCAAATAAGATTTGTTGTTTGTGATGTTATACTATCAAGATTATCTTTCCAAGTTAAGGTTAATTTATCATGTTTTCGTATTTGTTGAACTAATTGATATAAATATTGTCGTTTTTTATTACGATTTAAACGTATAATACGATATGTATATTTATGTAATTTATGTTTTTGTTTTAAAATTATTGATGAATTAATTTTTTGTTTAAGATTTTCAATTGTGAGTTGAATAATTTTTAGTAATGAAGCTCGTTGTTCTAAATGATGATATTCATCATCAAATGTTTGTGTTAAAGATAAAAAAGCTTGATGTAATTGTTTAGTTAGTTCATGATTAGAATTAGTTTTATTTAATAGATTAGTTGATTTTTTATGAAGATGTTTTAGAACAATTGAATAATTTATTAATGCTTTATGAAATTGTATTAAATATTTTTGAAGAAAATTTAGTATAGATGTAGCAAATGAATAATAATCATTAAGTTGTTTATTCATTTGTTCGCATTCATACATTTCTCGTTTGAATTTTATAGAAGATGAAATAAGCAAAATTATTTAAAAAGTACAATGAAAATAATTAGACAGCGCCGGTTTTTATGTATTTGGTAACTCGGGATATTTTTTTATAGCATAGATTTATATTTATGTCTTGAAAGCTTAAGTCATATCATTCATACAGTGGAGATAAAGTGATCGGTCTATCCAACCTTCTTGCTTGCTATGATAGGACTTTTAGGGACACTGGGTTGATTACAAGTAATTTATGAACAACGATAATAATTAAAGCAAAGCACAAACATAAAACAATGAGTAAAGAAAACATGAATCATGAGCGATGGTTTGCAGCGTCGCACTCTATTGATACCCAAGAAGAACGCATAGATCATTGACAAACAAGTTACTAGACACGTGTAGAACAGAATGAAATTATATGAACACGATGCTAGTTTTCGAAAAAAAGAACACGCTGCCATCCTTTCCCGAAGATAAAGCGATCTCTACAATAAGAGATGTTTGTCTGATCATTTTTTTTAAAACAGAACTGAATTCAAAGTTTTAATTTCCGACGGTCGGATTTCGTCGATAGAATTCGATGACATCCGACTATGAGAATTTGTCGAATTCAACGAAATTCGATGATATTAAAGTATCTAATTTTGTTTTTTGTATCTATTAGATAACATGTTAAATGTATTGTATAATACTTTTTATGACAGTGCGAAGCCATTTTCCACCAACTCAGGTTAAACATTTACTCTGCTAAACAATAGTTTATGATGATAATGGGAGCTATACAATTCAATGAACAATAAGTATAAATTATTTTTTTATTCTTTATTTTAGTTCAGATTATATTAAGGTATGAAATTGATCAAAAATGAGTATAAACTGTTGATTCTATTTTTTTTTCTTCGTTTTAAATTTATTATTCACCAATTGAATGTGATAGTAAGTTAAAATAGAGTATATGTAAGCTGTTCATTTTTAGCTAATTCTACGAGAGGCAGAAAGTAGGGAAAGTAACAAGGTAGTTCACACAATGTCTAATGTCCAGATGTAAATTTAACGTGATTCTATCGGATTCAAATTTAGGATACTTCGCCTTGAGTAGTCATTTTTCTTCCATGTCCAACAGGAGATGACAGAATAGGAAAAAATATATGGAAATTTTCTCGAAAATTTCAACAGTGATTATCCATACATAATTACATCGAAAAAAGACTACTCTCAACCAGCTTGAAGGGTCAGAATCATTTATCTGTGTAGTAGAAGTTATTTTTAAAACAAAAATAAACAATTCAACTTGTAACGAACCAGTGAAACATAAATTTATTGAATTCAAAATAGTTATCAACTAAAAAGCGATTATCTGACATGATATTTCAGTTAAATAACAACTTAATACCCAATTATATTGATGCAAACTACTAAAATAAGTGCTCCCTATTTTCTGAATCTTTATTTCGATTGTCAAAAGTTAAATTGATGAAATTTTCTTGAATATCGCTTTACATTATTCAATATATGTTTCCATTTTTCGAATACATTCGTTTCAACTTGTTTGTTATATTTCTTCATTTTTTTACTAATCATTCGAAAATCTGTCGAAGTCAATTTTTCAATAAGATCTTCAATCGATTCGTAATATATAATATGTGGCCATTGATAAAAATCTGAGAAATTCAACCAATATCGAATAGCTGTACGATCCAAATCATTATTTGGATCAGGTACATTCGTTAAAACACCTTTAATACGAGAACTCTTCGGTCTTACTCCATATGAAATTTGATCCCAAGTTTTTTCATTGACAACACCATATTCATAATGCCATTTAGTCAAAAGATCAAGTGATGGAAATAGAAGTGGAATATTCATTCGATATTGTTCGAATAAACTCATTATTGAAACTTGATAAGGTATATGAATAATGGCTGGATGATTAGTCAGATCAGAATATTTATAATTACGATAAATACTTCTAATCGGTACAATTTTAATTTTATGTTTTTCATATTGATCTAAAGAGCTCTTAAGTATTTTTTTAAATAATGCATCAAAATACGGTGCATGAATAGGAGCAAGTAAAAATTCTTCTCGTGTCGGATTGTAATCACTATTTGTATAATTACAAAAGCTGGGTAAAAGTGTAACATTTATACCAGTGAAATAACGAATATATTCGACATCATATAAATTATTTGCGGCTATAATATTTTTTGGATCTTGAGAAATTTTTTTCAAATTTTCATTTAATTTGTTCCATTGTTGGGGTTCAAATCTTGCAAGTTCATAACGTGTTGATGAAATAATAATAATACTCCGATTAAATTGCATATATAATTCACACATTGACACAGGATGAAAACAAACAAATGCATCAACTACGTTCATTTCAATTTGGTTTTTATAAAATTCATAAAACTTGGAATGGATTTCATTTGAGAGATTCATTCCATTGTCTCTGGTTAATATACGAAGAGAGGATGAACATGTTCTTGTTCGTTTACAACTATATGACAGACTTTTATCGAAAAACAGGACACCCAGAGGAGAAAGAATATTTTTTAGATCATGAATAGGACTAAAATTTAAAAACAAAGAGACAAAAGGATTCCATTAAAATTTTTCAATGTAATTTATATACCTTATGTGATAATCACTACTCCATATAGTGATAGCATTTTCGTAGGGTTGTAAATCGAGTGTTTGTATAGACAACTGATAAGTTAATTCTTCGTGAAATATTACAACAAAAGTAATAATAGTTAGAAGAAACATTAGAGAATTAGAACGATGCCGAATAAAGTAGACGAAGCACCGTAATTTACGATAAGAAATCATTTGTTTTTTGAATAGATTAAACACAAAATTAAAGTGATTTTCTTTTTCTAAAAGAAATAATGTGCAAAACTACTTATGTAGTGAATAATAAAGTATCAGATGTCCGCGAGTCGCAGTGCCACATCATCCTATCCGATTCTACTATGGGGAGAGAAAGAGGTGGTGAACTCTGCGGGATTTCGCAATTTTTCTGTCTTCTAGCAACACTCGTCTTGTTTTTTTAGAATACAGCTAAATTGATAGAAAGGAATGATATTAGATTTTTATGTTTTGCAATAGTCGATATGTCTACCATTTCCTTTTTTCGTTGTCGTGAAAATGAAAGAATGATGATGATATATATCTACGATCAAGGATGCAGAACTCATATACATTTCTAAGTCATCTTATTGAGTCTGATCGAACGTATTTTAATGTTTCATGTAGCTCATTATTAGGATCGTATATTTTCATGAACATACGCAGAACAATGAGTAGATGTTTAATTCGAGGTCGAATAAAAAGGAAAAATTCAAAAAAGAGTCACTTCCATATTCGGAGAGCACAAAAACAAAAGAAAAATTTTATTTAAATAATAATTTATTTGCAAAATAATGATAAACATTTAGTAGAGCTCCATTTATGTTCGAGCTCGAACTAGGCAACTCGTGAAAGCAATAGGATTACATGTGGAGAAATATGTAGCAAGATCGAGATGGTATATGATTATTCAACACACAGATATACGATCGTCATACTGGACCATGTAAGTTGCAATATTACTCGAAATCCAACTGCTTACGACCAGACATGCACCTAAACTCATTGGTATAATATAGAGTTTCTGATATTTTCTCACATATCATTGGGTATTTACATAGTGTGATGCGCTATAAATATTGAAAGAAGTATTCTTTTGACGAGCGAATAAAGAATGATCTGATGCAGTATATAGTAAGCGCAAAACTGGTAGAAAACTAAATAAATAGTGATTATCTTAATGGGTATTAGGAATGGCACTTTTATTTAATAATAATCATGAAAATGATCCAAATGTTCTCTTTTCGCGAGACTCTCTCATGAGTTCGGAAGATACTCATTCTCGGATTAGAAAATGTAAGAAGATGATTCACAACTGCTTGGGAAAACAATAATGAAAGGAGAAATCAGAGGATCCGTGCTGTGGCAGCAACCGAATCTGTCACCAATCCCTTGCTCACAATAAATGGACGCATCCTTAGGTTGGAATCGTATTGAAAACGCTAACGGAATCTAGAAACCGTTTCCGAGCGCATGCAGTGACGGCAAACGAGCCGCAAACTGTAACAGGAAACAGTTTCGGGTTTGGCTGCCAGAAATCAACAAGAATTCGACGAATCCGGTGGTTTTTCCTGATTCTGCTTCGCTTGGACAGAACTACAATAAATTTTTTCTCATTTCGTTTTATTGAAAGCAAAATGTTTTGAGCATTTTTAGATTGGAGACGGGCGATTTCGATTCCCATCCTAGAAGACAAGTTACATTTGCTGATTCCGATACGATTTAGACTGCAAAAAGCTTTGATTTTGCCAATGTCTAGATGCATTGCAGATTCTATTTAAGTAGAATTACAAGAAATGTACAATCATTCACTAGCTACAAAATAGCGATAAGACTAACAATTGAAACATCTAATTTGTTGACTTTATATTACGATGGAATGAATCGTATGTTAAGTTAGAACATTTTATTTTACAGTTCTGTTATTGTAAACGTTACTCAAAATCTAATAAAATGAAATTCAATTAAAATTAAAACAACATAAACAATTTTTAAAAAACCTACATTACAAGAACGAATTGAACATTATTGATATCAGTTAAAAACACTCTCAAGTCTTTTTTTTTTTGAGATGATAAAACTTTTATCTGATCAAGCATATGGAACCAAAGGTATATCTTATATTGTAACATCTTCAATGAGCAATGAAGAGTCATTTGAAGTCCTTTTGAAAAGAAAATTTCTATCAACATTCAGGTATTATTTTGGTGGAATATGTATTTCAAAGCAACAGTATGAAGCAAGCATGGTATGAATATTAAAACAATTTCTTTTTTACACAAAAAAAATCATGAACTCACTGAATCCATTAGTTGACTGTCACTAAGTGTTAAAGACAATAGACTATACTGGTTTCTCCTATTTTAAAAAATTAAAGCCTTTAGTATAAAGAAAACAAACCAACTTCAGAAAAAAAAGAGAACTACTCTTATTTGTATCCTTATTGTATTTAATTCTATTCACCACTGCAACCATTTCCTTTTCAGATTGCTGCATACATAGATCCAGTTCTGTCTCAACACTTAGCAAGTGATCAAGATAAACTAACTAAAGCTGAGAAGTTGACCCGGTAAGGATGTGAACTTCATTAAAACGTGTGAAAGTCTAGTTCGCATGGAATACCAACTCCAGCAATGATGATAATACAGTGTTCGTTGTAAAAAAAAATGAGTCACAAAACAAACAAAAACAAAGATACTTATGTGGTAAAAGAATAGATATCATTCTACATCGCTAATGTTAAATCTACACCCAATTTTGAGTCATCTGAGGAAAATATACTGAGAAATCACCTGATTTGGTAAAAGTATTAGAACACTTCATGTATGCACGCAACATTATCACCAAGCGAATCTTCATTTTCCATTTGGGGCTATACCAACAGGAAAAGCCGTACCAGTTTGTCTTGGAAAACATTTCGATCGTCTATGCGCCTTAAGAAGCAAGACGAACAAATAATAGATGGGGATAAAACATGATTACTAGTATTATCTTTCAATTATTGACTATTGTCTATGATATATAAGTTATTTATCCTTTACTTTCGTTGTAATTTGAAATAAAAACGAGAAAGCAAAGTCCGAAAATAGAAATAAGTCATTACTGTTACGAATAATTGTTGGTGGTGATAAGACATACGAAGACATTGTCAGTGATATCTGTTTATCAAGAAAATTAGATTACAATTAATTTTTTATCGTTCATTCACACTAGTTTGAGATAGATGGAAGATTGAGAAACAGGGAGAGAAAAATATCTAAGAATCTGAGGGAAGAATGAGAGAGAAATCGCTGATCAGGTGAACAGATGAAGAGAAGGTGAAGAATACTATCATGTGATTAGATGAATTACTTGAAAAAGAAGTTTCCCATGTCATCAAAATCGCCTAAGTTTTGATGATTTATCGCGATTGATCGTTGATTTTTCGAGTAACGCAGATGTATCGTCATAAATTGTCGATTGTTTTGAGATTTGTGATTGGTCGAAACTAACTGCGTATTTTCAGATATTTTCACGGAAAAAATATTTTAAAGTTTTATAATATGCTAGAAAGCAATTTTCTGACCCATTAATTATTGGTTTTATTAGCTTAGATAAACAAAAAAATGAACTTATTAATCTCTTCTTGTTCAGTCGAACTGTATCATATTAAATTACGTAATTTACTACAATGATTAGCATGTGTTACAAATCTTTGATTAATTTCAACAGAAATCTTTATTGCTTAATACGTATACAAATGAAGATTAGTTTTCGATCGTTATACATAGACAGCTTCTTTCAATCATCCCAACTAATTTAAGGACATTTTCAAGAACATTCGTGTAATTAGTTAACAAAGAAGATTATTCTCCACTTTTTCTTTTCTCTTCTCTTTCATATAAATTCTCATTTCGCAATAATTTTTAAAAAATTTTTTTCATCCATAGAAATGTATACATTACTCATCTATTTTACTTTGCATTAAGAACCAGAGACCAAAACAAACCACACAAGTCCAATTGGATTTGATTCGGTTCAGATTGCGTTTGAAAAATAGTAGGTGTGGGATGTGGTTTGGGAGTGAAATTCCGTCTTCTATCATCTACATCCACCCTTCAATTATTTTTTTTTATTTGTTTCTTTTTGAAATTACTTGTATAAATGCCATGGCCAATGGATTCCTTATATTCTTAAAAAAACTATCTTAATAAAGTAGTGGAATATATTTTCGTATTAAACATGACTCGGCGGTGTCAATTTATTCTTATATTTTAATTTATGGATATATTGAATAAAAAATAATTTTTTTCATAATTGATATTTTTATATATAGATTCTAAAAATATTTATATTTAAAGATAGATATAAATAACAATCATTTTTATGTAAAATAAATTATTTTGTAGTAATTTAAATTATAAATAAATTTAGTTAGAAATAATTTTTATTTTGAAATATAAATTGTTATCATTCAAATTTATTTTTAAATGCAACTTATCAAAAAAATTGATTTATATTTATTTAAAAGTAACAGGAAAATGACATCCTTAGCTTTTACTCGTAGTGAAATTTTCGTGATTATAACAAAGTTGTTGAATACACGTAGAAAATTCAACAATGTCAGATATACGCAAGTATAGTATAATTGTATATTCCGTGCTTCGAGAATACAAGTTCATCTTATCGAATCTGCTCTACGGTAATAAAAAGCG